CCAAAAACTTACAATTCAGTTATAGAGATGATCCCTTCCAGGTATCACCACAACCCCCATCAGTTCACAGAGGAACTAAGCACCTCCTCTCTCCAGCCAGGTGAACAATCCCTCCTTTAACGACCGACCCTTCAGAATCATAGACATGTTTCAGGTATTAAAGGAGACAATCCCTCTTTTAACGACCTTCATAATCATAGACAGGTTTCAGATATTACAGGCTAACAATGGAACCAAACGACCTGCTCGTCGGTTTCAATTTGCATGTTTCCAAGCGATACAAGGCCTTGTCTATATAAAGCCTCACACTCACTGTGGATCCAGACATTTGAATTGAGAAAGCTTCCTGGAGGGGAAGCGAAACGTCTTCAACCTTGGAAACGAAGTCCAGTGGATTGTTTTTAAACTTTTACGGAAATTATATATTCACCAGGTTTTCAGCTCTGCACTGCCGCAGCGCAAAAGATGTCTGCCTCCACAGTTGCAAACGCACTCCTATGTAATTATAAACTCAATTTCTAAAGCCAGGCAAACATAAAGATTGAGACTCTAAGGTCATAGGTGATAATAGATAAAGGTGAATAGAACGAACAATCAAGCCAGTCATCAGCGCCAAGATCATAACATCATGTTTGAACCAACAGATTATGTATACATTAAATAACTAGAGCTGTAAGTTATAGTTAATTAGTATGACATTCAAATTAAGAGTAAAACCAATTTATGATAATTAGTTACATGATCATAATTTATATCTTCTTACTCACCAATAATGTTCTTACTGAAGGTTGGAATTCTGGGCCAGCTGTTACAATCCATTTGTCTTTTATCAATTTAGAAATTTAGACTATGGCTATCAGCAGTTTTTGATCACCAACCAAAGGAAATTGTCTCTTTTTCTTCAGGTGTTAAACAAAATTGGTTGGATCTTGGTTCGAGTTGTAGCTGCCCATTGCAGCCTGTAGCTGCCGTATTGACAATGGTGGCAGGGTCCCCTCTGACTCCAAATTGTCTCCAGCCTTCCCCCAAATCTAGAAAAAGCACTCGAAAATTTTCTGAGTTGCTATCTGATTTGGTGTTGAATACGCATGGGGTCATCGTAGTCTTGGATTTTAACATGAAGGTGATAGCTCGAGTGCAGCCTTTGATCTTATCTTAGATGCTATTGGCTTTGTTCAAAATGTTAATAGTCCCACACATCATCATCTTCATACTTTGGACCTTGTGCTGACATATGGCATAGAATGTGAAGAAATAACAGTATTTCCTCATAACCTGGTTCCTTCAGACCCCTTAATAATAACCTCCTGGATTACTGTAATCAATGATCAATTTAAATCTTATCTATCTGATCGATTTTAGTTTGTTCACTTTAGTGACAAATCTTTCTCATGATCCAGGGTTACCTGTTGAGTTCCACAGACATCAGTGCTAAGACCAATTCCCTTTACCATGTACATGCTCCCAATCGGTAGAGTTATTAGACAGCATGGGATTAATTTTCACTGTTATGCTGATGATACCCAGCTATATCTGTCTATAATCCAGATGAAGCTAACCCATTACTGTCAGGATTTGGTGTTGGTTTGAGGACCCAAATGCAGAGGCAAGTAGGCAGAGGTGAATTTAGGTGGGTTTAATGATGTTCACAGGAACCGAGGCAGGAATCAAAAATCCAACAGAAATAACA